ATATATTGCGAGATTTTTGTTTCTTCCTAGTCAAATATGCTAACCATCTGCCAGGTTTATTTGCATTACAGAAAGTATTATGTTTTGCATATAACAAATTAGTAGCCACCTGGTCTGACATCAGCATATTAAATTGCGCTCTTAATAAGGTAATTGCTTCTTTAATATTCTTATCTCCTGGGTTTAATATTAACTCCTGTTCTCTCTTCCTAATCTCTTCCTCTAGTTCAGTTCCTTTCCCCCCCTGTTTACATCTATGTAACCTATTTAAATTTATTAGGACTCCTCTCATGTACGCTTTACTTGCATCCCAGACCATTTCCATAGATGTACCCTTATTCATATTAAAGACAAAATATTCTCTCAACAATTTTTTACATTCATTAATATTTTTCTCATAATTACTATTTTGAATCTGTTAAATTAGTTGTCTGTGTGTACGTGTGACCTTTGAATCAATCTTGATTCCTGGCAACAGCCTGGACTAACCCCTGCAATTTGCTTGGAAATATTTTTGAAAATGGTTTTCCATTATTTTGTTCCTGGTTCTGAGATCAACTGACCCAAGGTAACCAATTGGTTTTTCTGCCTAAGAAGGCAAGACTAAAACTCATGGTCTTCCAGTTTCTAATGTGCTTTAATCACTACATTAAATTGGCTTTTTAAAATATATTTAAATATACAACTACTTAAGCCTTAGAATATAAAAATCTCTGCAAAAGTCACTTTCTAACACAGGCTCAAAGTTGGTTAGCAAAGAAGGTAAATATTCAGAATTAATAGAAAAACAATAATACTAATAGGGGAATATTGTGTTAGAACAGAATCTGTTCGCTTCCTATATTCAGGCAACAGCTTTCTCTTATGTCTGTCAAATGGTAGTCTAGTGTATTATTTCCTGAGATTGAAAGCTGTGCGTCTCTATCTTTTCCCATCACACCTATTTTGGGCCTAATTATGAAATTAGGTTCCATGAAGAGAGATTTTTCCATGAACCAGAGAGGGCATAGTATCATGTGCTGCCTGCCTCCCCCAGATGGGGCTTTGCTTGTTTGTGCATCTTGATTTCTGGCATGCTGTGGCCTGGTACTGGTTCACAGACTGGAGTTTGGGGACTCCTCGCCTAAACCTGAGGGTTTCTTCATTTAAAAAAGATAAGCATTCAGGACAATCTTAGGCTGATTCTTCCTTTCTTAAATTTTAGGATACTGGAGTTGGCAAATCAAGTATAGTTTGTCGATTTGTTCAGGATCATTTTGACCACAATATTAGCCCTACTATTGGGTAAGTACCATGTATAGTTAAACTAAATAAACACTGATGAATTCCTTTGTAATTTAATGTAGGGAAAGTTATTCGGAGTAGCTGTACATGTATTACGAGTTCTATCCCTATTTTAACATGGAATATTATTGAGTGGACATGTTACAACCTTCTGCAATTAATGCCAACTGCAAAGTACTTGAATTTTTCTGCAATTTTTTGTTACGCTCCCACAACTTCTACAACATTACCCAAACCAAGCAATTTAGGCTTGTTTTGGGGTAGGGGCTTATTATATTTTTCGGAGTATAAGACGCACCAGAGCATAAGACACACCAAGAATTTGAAGAGGCATTTTTTTTAAAAAAGTAGGTAGGTAGAGGGATAGAGAGGGAGTGAAAGAGAGAGAAATACAGTAGGTAGATAGGGAGAGAGAGAGTAGGTGGGTAGGTACCGTGTTTCCTCGAAAATAAGACAGGATCTTATTTTCTTTTGACCTCTGAAATAAGTGCTTGGCTTTATTTTGGGGGAGGTCCTATTATTGAGGTGCAGGAGGCGGTGAACGTGGTCACCTCATAGCTGCTGCTGTGCTGCAATATTTTCGGGGAGGGCTTATTTTCGAGGGAGGCTTGTTTTAGCGCATGCACTCAAAAACCCGATCGGGCTTATTATACGGGGAGGTCTTATTTTCAGGGGAACAGAGTAGATGTTTCCAGGTGTATTTATCCATGTGCTGGAGAAGGAAATCACTGACATTCTGCAGTACCTAAGATTTTGTTTCTGCTGGCACAGCACTTGATCAGTCTAATTCTCATCAATCAGTTAAAGAGCTTTCCAAAAGGGGGAGGGTGGGAAAAGTTTTTGCACTCTGCAAACCTCCCCAAAACGGCCCGTTTTTCACAAAAACGGGCCCATTTTTTTAAAAAAAAGGCATGAATAGCTTTGGGGGGGGGCTTGCAGAGTGCTCCTGGGGGACAGGGGACGGGGCAAAAATGAGCAAAAACCCCGGCCCATTTTTCATGAAAACCTGCTCGTTTTTTGTCAAAAAAATTGCATGCATAGCCTTATGGAGGCTTATACATTGCTGCTGGGAGCTGCGGGGGCAAAAAACGGCCCATGTTTTTCTCATTTCTGCCCTCCCCAGCCCCCAGCAGCTCTCTCTGAAAGCCTCCATAAGGCTATGCACAGCCATTTTGGTGAAGGGGGTGAGGCAAAAAATGCTGTATTCAATGTATAAGACGCACCCAGGTTTTCAGCGTCTTTTTTGAAGAAAAAGGGTGCGTCTTATACTCCGAAAAAAATACGGTATATATTTTTAAGGGTAGGGATGAGAGGAATATTCTGCTATTCCTATTCCCAGTCTTAAAATTCTGAAAAGTGGATAGAAGGGTTGATCTTACCTATTACAATTACACTTACTTGTTAGATATTTTTATCCTGCCTTTATTTTTTATAAATATCTCAAAGTGGTGAATATACCTAATATTCCTCCCTTATCCTATTTCCCCCACAGCAATCACACCCTGTAAGGTGAGTTAGGCTGAAAACTACCCAGATGCCTTTCATGCCTAAGGCAGGATTAGAACTCATGATTTCCTAATTTCTAACCTGGTGTCTTAACCACTATATCAAACTGGCTCTTTATGCCAGAAGGTTTGAATGTACAGTAGTTACAATTTTTTCTGTAGATCATTGACTACTCTGATTTAAACCCATAGTTTTTGAAAACTACTTTTTACTTAAAATTTATTTATTTCTACTTCACCTGTCTAAGGCTGACTCACTCAACAGTGAATCTAGGCAACTGTCAAAAGCAACCACTGTCCTTGAAAACAAATAATAGGAAGGGAACAAATATACACTATGTCAAATGCATGTACCAGAGCCTAAAGTAAATGTTGAGTTCACAGAACTTGCTTTTAGTATTGCAGGAGCAAAAACAATGAAGTAGAAGCAATTTCTCAAATAACCAGGCCTTGTGCCATGAAGAACTGTACAGATGATAATCACCACCTTGGATTGTATCCAGAAATTCATTAGCTGCTCACATAGCAGAGGTATTTACATCAGTGTTTGTATCATTGAATTCTGGACCAGCTGTAGCTTCTAAGTGAGCTTTAAGGGCACTCCCATACAGGACACATTGCAGTAGTCCATGCACATATGACTAAGGCATTAATGACTCTAAGAAGAAATTACTAGTGAAGGGAAATGGGCACTTGGCATATTAGGTCAATATGTGTCAAGGACTTTCTGGTCACAGTCAGGACCTATTCTTTGAGCAGGATCTGTAAGTTCAGAAGGACTCGCAAATCACAAACCACTTTTGTATGGAAAGTACAACTTTACTCAGAATTAAAGCTAGACATATCTGGTACTGGAAAAATCATGAAGCTATAGTTACTTGTATTTGTCAGGGTTGAGTTAAGCCCATTCCTTCCCATGCAGTCCTTAGAAGCCTCCAGATTCTGTGACAAGATTCAACAGCATCACCTGGTCAACCAGGAGTTGAAATATACAGCTGAATATTATCAACCTACTAATGATATCTGTCTAATGATGCTTTAGTTACCACTTCAATGTTAAACCGGAGTGATAAGAACATTGAATCTTAGGTATACACAACTAGAAGCGTTGAACTTGACCTCTGCTCCAATTACTGATGATTGGAAGCATCCAAGGGAAAGTAGTTATTCCAGAACTATATTATGATCAATGGTACTTAAAATTAAAGAGAACCAGAATGGTCATTCACCCCCATCCTAGCTCTACTACAGTGATGGCGAAACTTTTGGACACGGAGTGCCCAAACTGCGGGCACGCATGCCCAAACTGAATGCGCACCTGTGCGGGCATGTGTGGACATGCACATGTACGCAGCAGAGACCTGAAGACTAGTTGGGAGGCGGGGCACCCAACACTGGCAGCACGGCAAGAGGTAAAATCTTTTTCTTTCGTGAGCTTCTGTTTTGTCATTTGCAGGAAAACAAGCTCATGAAAGAAACACCATGGAGATCTCACTTGGGGCGTGCCAGCAGAGAGGGCTCTGCCCTGAGTGAAACAAGCAAACATACATACATACATACATACATACATACATACATACATACATACATACGAAGCTTCAGCCTGACCACTTTCTCAGCAATTTTCCCCCAAAGGAGAAGTTGGATTAAAATTATCCAGAATTACGGGTTCGGCAATAGTTTCCTATGGTGAGGGCTGTGGAAAAATTTAGCTCTAGCACGGAGAAGAAGGATAAGAAAGAACAGGTTGCTCAGCTCTGGAAAAGTAGAAAGCCTGAAAAACAGAACAGCCTCATCTTGAGTTCTTTGTTAAAAAGGTGCAGTGAAGGTTTTGGACATGCTTTCAGGATTCAGGACCCTACAACAAAATAGCATTCCTGGAATCTCTGCATGTCTGTTCTTTGACCTTGCCTTTCCTGGTGCATCACTCTTCTTTGTCATACAACCATACCAGGTGGCTATTAAGACCTTGAAACAGATCCTTCTGAAAATCCCCAAGCTTCTTCTGAAATACCATTAGGGTCTCACATTCTAGTTATGTCTGAGGGAATGAAAGATGTTCAGGTTTCTAAAATGACTAATTTTTTATTTTCTTTCAGCCATAAAACATTCATAAATTGTTATATATATATATTTTCTTCCAGTCTTAAAATCAACATTCAGCTACTGTATAGTGAATTGTTGATTTGGATCTTAGTAACTCATTTAGTATTTTGTATAATTAATTGAGAAAGTGGGAAATAATTATCCAGATGGTGATAATGATTTATGCAGGAAATATTAACATATATTAGCATGCAGGAAAAAAACTTGTCTTTTCTTTTTTATTTAGAATTAAATATAGCTTAGCATCTCAAATTTTACAGATGTGAATTCTTTCTAGAAAAAAGTAACTTATTTTCCTATTTAAAAATAGCAATACATGTATGCATCATTATGTTTAATTTAACTTTTAGATTGCCTGAAATATCTGTACAATGTTTGCTATTTCTTGTGAAGATTGGATTCCTGAAAATGTTGTTTTCTTAATTGGCAAATACATGCATAGTAAATTAAACTCTGCTTATGTGCAACTCTTTTTGCAAATTTTAGAGCTTCTTTTATGACTAAAACAGTCCCTTGTGGGAATGAGCTTCATAAATTTCTAATCTGGGACACAGCAGGTCAGGAGAGGGTGAGTATGAGTCTTTTATCTAAAGACAGTTGCATGCCATATTTTGTATTGTTAATAAAGCAGAGGGAACCAGCATCTGTAACATAGATACTGAAGGTAAGAAGGCATGGTATGTTTATATTGTTTTAAACATCACAGTAATGTAGATTCTGTTTCAACAGAAACAGTTGTATAGTAGAGATTAAACAAACAGGACACCAAACCATCAACAGATTGACACTTCCAGAATCATAATAATATGCAGCCAAGTTCTAGTTCCAGGCTTCTGGAAAGATAAAAATTTTGAACTACTAGAGTCTTCTAATTTCTGCTTTCTCAGGATCTTCTAGGCTTCATCTAATGGCCCAATCTCTGAGCTATTTGCCATGTCTTTCTCTCTCCCTAATGCTGAAATGGTATTCTTATTTCCTACAATTGGCCTCAAAGGAAAGGTGAAAAGGTGTATACATGCTATACAAACTTGAATTTCCTTCCATACCGGTATCTTTAAAATCCAATGTACTTTCATCTGTTTCAAAACTGGTTCAGACTCTTCTGCTGTCTGTTGTGCACAGGCATGAATAGCAATACATCAGTTTAATTGGACCTTCACATATAGACCTGATCTTCCATGCCTGACAGTATGTGTTGTGAGCGTGCGTGTGTATGTGAGAGAGAATGAGAATATGAAAGGCCAGATGTTTTTCTCTTATGTTTTCTTGGGTCCTTGATTATTTAGCAAGCTCTATGACTTGAAAAATGATCTGTGTGGGAGTTAAGAAAATTATAAGTTCTAGTAAGTCTAGCAAGAATTACACTCTCCTTAGGACAGCTACTCTAAAAATGATGATGGGTCTCAAATTAGGCTTAGGAGATATTGGTTGGAATTCATTGGATGTGGCAGGAACAGGTAACCTTAAAACTACTGATTTGAGGGATGCACATTCAGGTGCAGCTATTCTTTATCTCTGTCTCTTCTTTTCTGTCTTTTTGTTTGTATACACACCCTCTTTTCAACTTGAAAATATTTGTTTGAAAGTAAGAAAGAGTTCTCTTTTTCCCAAGGTAGATCATAGGCCAAGATAGGGCATATTTAGATCCACAAATATGATTCTACTACTTTAGGAAGTATATTGACTACCATTGTTATCAACTTTAAAGAGCTGAATGGCAGAGTTTAAATACCTTCAGGACTTTCTGCTCTGGGCTGGATCTGCCTATCCTGCAAAAGCTGGAAGAGAAACATGTTAAGATCTCATCACTTGAGTGCCACCTATAGGAATCTACATGTTGTGTCTTCTCTGTGGTAGACCCGTTCTGTGGAACACTTTGTCCCTGATGTTCTGTTAACCTCCTTATGGAGCTTCAGAAGAGTCCTGAAAATCACAGTTCAGGAAAGCATTTGGGATTAATGAGGATGACCTACCCCATTGCATAAGAAAAAGTATTCTGGGGTGCTATGATTTTATTTCAATGCATTTTGTTACTTGATTTAAATCATTTACTGTTAGATGAGTAAACATAGGAGGGAAGATAGAAGAGATATTAATGTAACAGTGTTGTATTTTTTTGACTTACATAAGATACAACTTTTTGATTCGTTTTGTTCTGTGTTTCATAGTTTCATTCACTGGCACCCATGTACTATCGTGGATCAGCAGCAGCTGTTATAGTTTATGACATAACTAAGCAGGTGAGCTTACTCTTATCTCATTATTGACATTTATTCAAAAATTCAACTTAATAATTGCTCATTGTATTTTTCTCTCAGCATCCTCTGTGCTGGCTCAGAGAAGAAGCCACATAAAAGTTCATAAATCATATTTTTATAAGATTTGTAGACAGTATTAAATCAAGAAAATTAAAAGAACGTTTTATTTTAATCTTTTAAATTTGGGTAGGCAATCTTTTGAGATTGAGGGGTTTTAAAGATGACACTAAGTGTACTTTGAAACACTATTTTTTACATTATTTGTGCTGAATTTTAGCAGACACATTATGAAATGCTCCAAGGGCTGTAAACATATATTTTGGTCCATTTCTCATATAAATACAGTGTGAACTTTGCTGTGTCACTTCATAAAATAGTCAAATTCATTTTAGGCAGGTTTAGAGGCCTGCTTTCTGAATTTGGAATTTCAGTTTGCGAACTGTGATCTTTGTGAGTTTCTCTATTACTGAAAATCAACAAATGCCCCTAATTATAAAAAAAAATTGTATGAAATATGCAACATAGTGCCTTCTTTGTTTTTCATGCCCTGAGTAATAAACAGTAAAGTTTTCTGTCTAACTGAATCTAAATTTGCCCAAAATGTCAATATATAATTGATTCTCTAATTCTTTTATTGAGCTTTCCCATGTTCAAGCTTCTTACATGTTGCAATTTTGTCTTTTACACCTTTGGATTTCCTTTTTCTGTATTGAAACATCAGCAATTTGATGCCTGGAAGGCTTTAATCTAACTGTGTCATACACATACTCTGAAAGATCTTCAAGTTTTCTTCAGAAGCATGTTGAGTGCCACCTGACCTGAGGGGGCCTATCATCCATCACAACATTGACAGTCTCTTTATTTCTGTGGTTTTCTTGTTTAAATGTGCGAGTGGTTGTCTTTTCTCAGACAGTATGAATTGATGCCTTTGCCATTGTCATTGAAGTGATCATATGCCTGCATCATCTCCCTATATCAGTGCTGCCCAATATGGGTATCTGCTTATCTTACCAGAACTACTTGGGTGATTTTTGTGCTTTGGATGTCTCTGCTAGAAATACCCTTTGGGTACATACTCCTGTCCTGCTTCATTCATTGTCCAAAGAACACATACCAAACACACAACAATGCTGAGGTAACAGCATAATTGCAGTACGCACATTTTGCACTGGGTGGATGTAGAAATGAGAAAACAATTCCAATAATTTATTTTCTTAGAAACATTCTGCGTCTCCCTCAAGGCACTCCAGGCACTACTCATTTAAGAATAGACAAGGAGAAGGATTTAGTTAGAATAAATTAACAAAATCTTATCCTTTATATAACTGGAAAAGAAACATTCAAAAATACTCTGAGACATATATTTCTTCTCTCGCTAGGCACAGGAAAAACAACTTCATGACTTTTCCTTGATTGGTATGATAACTGACATAGATAGTTTGGTGCAATAAATGGAATGTTTAAATGGTATTATCATTTTAGGAAAAACAGATTAATTTTACAATACTTATCCACTCTCCTCTGTGCTCTGTTAAAGCATGACATTTATTAACATATTTAACTTCATTGAGGTCATTAACCAGCACAGTAATTTAACTGTACAAGCTATGCTTTTTGCATATTTCAGAAGAAAGCTTCCAGAAGATTTGCTCTCAGCCTCCAATTAAAGATAGCAAATACTGCAATCCACATTGTCAGTTTTATGACACAATGAATGCTGGGCTTGGATATTGATACGTTTACAGGTTCTGAAACTGAATGCATTAAAGATTTGCTAATGAATGTGATTGGTTATATTGGTTGCCATGACCATTTTTGCTTTATTATATTGCAAACTTCAGAAGACCAGACAATCCACATTTTTGAATGTATACAGTTAGAATAAGTCTTACTGTAGTTATAAAATGTAATGTCACAATATTTATTATAAATACTAAATCAAATTTGTAATCATATTTTTTAATTTTTTCTGTTATTTATTCATTCTGCACTGTTTTAAGCTTCATTGTTGATAAATAATGATTGATAAAGTATTGATCAATCATTATTGATAAAGTATAATCTGGTATTGCAATTAAAATCAATTCTGATTTTGACAGACAGCAATACAAATTAACCTACCTATTTTAAAGTACGATTAGTTAGCCTTATTGTACTTGAGGTTCCATTTTTCTCATTCTGCTGAGTAGACTAAGAATGGGTGTGTAAGTGTATGGGTGGGTGAGTTTGTGTGTATTCTTACTTACCACTAGCATTGCTTTTTATTTATATCCCATACTTTGCTACCTTTTGCAAAATACTGAAAAATTGAATATGTATTTTTGATTCCCAGAACATTTTTGTGAATGGTTTGTCTAATTAAAAACTGGATTATATGACTATAGTATATTGCCCTAGGTTTTTCTTACCATGAATAAGTCTTTCATTAATAAGCATGCCCTGAAAACATGAATGCTTTATTTGTTTCTCACATACTTATTTATATTTTTTGAATATATAGAGGGAGGAAGCATGTGATGTAGTTTTTTCTCTGAACATATATTGTTATAAGTCACAGAGTATCTCTACAACTTTTGTTGGCTGGCTGTGGCATGCTAGAAATATACATTTTATTTTGCTTGGTATTATAGATTGTATCATTATGGATTTTATACATTGTCTTCAAATATTATGTCTCAATTTAGTACGTTCATTTTGACTTATGTATTTAATTTAGGATTCATTTCATACACTGAAGAAGTGGGTAAAAGAATTAAAAGAACATGGTCCTGAAAACATAGTAATGGCTATTGCTGGAAACAAGTGTGACCTTTCTGATATTAGGTATATATTCTGATATATTTACTTTTTGCAGTTTTCCATTGCTTTTTCTACAATATGACAAATTCAGAAATACATTTTATATGATTTTTAAAAATTAAACCAATGCAAATAATAACAAAAATGTTATTTATTGAAATGTATTTAATCTAACACATAAACAGTTTCGAAATAACAGTCGAAGTATACTATTCCATCTTAAATATGTTTTACTGCTCTAGCCTTATCTACTTTTTTGTCCAAGTTGTTTTATTTATTCACAACTCAATCCTCAAAACTGGGATGTCTTTAATAAAACATTTGGGAATGACCTCACTATGGAGCCCTACCTTCCTTTATACCAATGTTTTTCAAACTTGGTAGCTTTTAAGACGTGTGGAGTTTAACTGCTAGAATTCCCCAGCCAGCATGCTGGCTTAGAAATACTGAACGTTGAAGTCCATGCATCTTAAAGCTGCCAAATTTGAAAAACACAACTCTATACTATTAGAATTCTGCCTTGCTCTATATTGCCACTTAGTCCTGTAACAATGGCTTTATGTTGTCCATATACTGCATCCTTTCCCACCATCCCTTTCCCACTGCTAGAAAGGGCAACAGTTAAGTTTCTGTTATTTGTCTCCAATCCATGTTCACCGGCCTTCATAGTTTTCCTCTGATTAGAAACAAACTTGAGCTTTTCTTCAAGCTCTTTCAACTACTCCAATAAAAACACAGATTTGCACCTCCATTACATATAGCTTGAGTTTTCTCCTGGCACGGAAACGAACATTGTACATACCTTCAGTATCACTGCAGAGTGTCAAATTCTGTCCATGGTACTTGGAGCTTGTTGCATATTCTGTCTGTCAGACTCCCATGCAAAATTGTATCTGTGCCTGCTTGTTTGCCTCGGTCACAATACACAAAACTAGCCTGGATGTGGTCTCTATTCTTGATTATATAAATGACTACAAATGTTTTTTTTTCTTTTTTGCATTTGTTAACTTTCTTCTGGGGAAACTACTTACTGTATGTAATCATTGAGACAGATTTGTTATTGTATATAAACTTTCTATTAGAACAAAGTTCTACTTTCGTATTTTAATAACAAATCATCTTTTTTACTGGAACATTTTAAATCTATTGCTGATGATAGATTATACAAAAAACCAGTGAACTCAACTTTTTTTTAAATGAATGGTTTTTTTGCAAAAGACGTTTTAGTAGTTTATTAACATATATACTGTAAAACAACCAGTCCTGTTACTTATTAATTATTTAATTCATTCACATATTGGATTCTGGGTGGTCACAATAATTAGAAAACATTTTATATATAAATAAAAGAATCAAACGCTTGTGCTAAAACGACTATTAAAAATCCTAATGCAAAATGCAATAAGAAGGTAAATATCAATAATCTAATTCATTATAACCACTGGAAAGGGTTCCACCTTTCAATCAGTTACATCTAGCTTTCCATACATTTTGAAAAGCAAGAGCAAATTTTAGGATAATTGGTGGACAATTTCTTAAATACCCCCCCCCCAATTAAACCAGAAAATATAATTTTAAAAAAATTATATTATCAGGATTTATTGTGTGGGATCCAAGTTTTAGGAATAAACATTTCCATATTTGGTAATACATTTTTTCTCCTAGGTGCTGCGTGGAATCTCCAAGCATGGGTTAACTTCAGCTTGCTGCCCAAGGACTGAGTTCCAAGTTTGTGTAGCCATCCCTTCTGCTCCCTTTGGAAGCTCAGTTTAAAAAACTCAGTAGCCCTAAAAGGATGCAGTTGGGGAGCTCCAGTCCTTGAGCATCAAGTTGGACTCTCCAAGCAGTGTGATTAGTGTAGCCTTTTTTCTTATTCTTGTATAGAGTAGATTAGTGTAGTTATTCACAAGGCATAAGTTCCCTTTCATTGCCTTTGCGTGGAGCAGGCTATTCGGAACGAGCCTGCTGTTCGCACCCATGTGGTTGAGGCTTCACTGGGGGGGGGGGTTGTTCAATGGCTGCTGTCAAGCCTGGGGCCAGGTAGGTAGTTAGGAGGCCCCCACCTATTTGTCGGAGGACTTATTAAGAGCTCCGGAGGCTGTTAAAAGCCTTGCCGACCTCCAGACAGCCCCCAGTGCAGTTCTGAGGCACGCGGCAGCCATTTTGGATGGTTTAAAGTGGCGTGAAAATTTATCTCGGCCGTTTCATTGCCGCTGCTGTCTCCATCAGCAGATCGCCGCTGGAAGGGGTTGCCTATGCAAGGACCTTGCTCTGGGGTGCCAGGCAGGTCCCCCCTCCCCATCAAGGACAGTATTAGAGTGGCTGCAAAGTGTTTGGCTTCCCAGCTGGCCATACATTGCTTAAAATTGGCGCAGATCTGCGGACATTCCGGAATCATTCAACAGATGCCATTTTGACCTGCTGCAGCTCATTTCAGCACTCCTGGATAGATACTGGCAGATTGGACTCAGCTCAATTGCTTTTCTAATGACAACTGTCCTGCAGTGTTGGCCTGACTGTTCCAGCTTTGGCATGGCTTCCACCAGCATAGCAGAAGACATAGCTTCAGCAGATCCTTCCTCCTTGAAACGTAGCAGGCCAGGGCCTGCCAGCATGGGGGTGGCTAAGGGGCGCCCACCTAAAGACAAGCAGCCCATAGCTAAGGGGATGTCTAAGGCTTCTCAAAGACTGGCAGAAAGGAGCCAGAAAGCCTTCGAAAAACAGTTTCAAAAGGCTCAGAGGCTTGCAAGACCTCCCTCTCCTCCTGCAGAGGCCATATCTGGGCCCCGATTGCCTCCTCCCCTTAGGGACATTTCTCCATCCCTGGCAGAGGAAGGGGATTATGATTTGTCAGTACAAGGGGACTGTTCCCTCATGGAGGAGGATGATCCCACTCTGATATCGCCTAGGCCTGGGACCAGTTGCCCAGCAGAGGACCAGGGACGCAATATGTCCACTGAGATGAAGGAGATCATTGCTAATGCGATATCTCAGGGCATAGCCAAGGGCATGAGCAGCTAGGCCAGGGCCACCCATGCCAGGCAAGACCCAAACAGGAGACGCAGGCCCTGGCTTCTTCAGCTATCAGTGAGGAGTCTGAGGCAGAAGAGAGGGATCAGGAGGATCCAGATTTGTCTGAGGATGAAAATCCTGCTCCTGATCCACCGCCTTCTCTGGATTGTTCAAGCCCTTGATGTTCAAGGCCATCCTCACCAAGGCCAGGACCTCTTCCATTCAGATGGGTCTCCCATGGCAGAGCAATAAGGACTCCACAGAGCAGGGGAATAAGGAGCCCACTGGTCTCCAGGACCCGGGGACTGGGCTTTTCAAAGAAAATGCTCCACCCCAGGAGGTAGTATCAGCCCCTCAGTTGTTCTTGGATGTGATGCAGCATCAGTGGGCGCAGCCGGGATCAATGGCCAATCCGAGCGGGGTGGACAAGTAGCTCTACTCAGCAATATGGAGGATCTTTTAAAGAAACAACACGATTGTTGCCTTGACTTCCAACTCTGTCCTTCCAATGGATTTGCTGGAAGGCCTTAAGGCAGAGGATAAGAGGGCTGAGAAGGCCTGTCATAAGACCCACCTTGCCACCGCATGGGCTATGACGGCCTCTTCCTCATCTTATTTTGACAGGGCAGCCCTTTTCTGGCTCCGTAAGCTGCAATCTAAATTGCCAGCGAGTGATACTAGAGTGTGACAGGATGTCAATAAGATTATGGCTGCAGTCAAGTACTCTGCTGATGCTTCACTCAACGCCACAAAATCTTCCTCCAGAACCTTAGCCTCCAATGTAACATTGCACCACCTGCTGTGGCGTAGACAATGACAGGCGGACATGAGGGCAAAGTGGAAACTCACTTCCACTCCCTTCAAAGGGGGAAAGCTCTTCAGGGAGGCCTTGGATTTTGTCTTAATTGAATCTAAGGACAAATGCAAGGTACTCCCAGCTGTCACCAAGAAGCCTGACCACAAAGGCTAGTCCTTTCGGAATGCAGATCTTCCAGCCACCTCTGGAGGATTTAACCGTTACTATTCCCAGACGCAGAATGGTACCCAGGACAGGGCAGTGTTCAGGAACAAAAATAGACAGCAGGGTAGATGTGAGTCCTTCCGGGGCGGGTATTCCAACCGTTCCTTTTGTAGGAATAAGTAACCGTCACCGGTCCCCTCCAATAGGGGGTTGGCTTCAACTCTATGCCGACCAGTGGGAGGAGACAACAACGGACACTTGGGTCTTGAACACAGTCTGCTACGGACTCACCTTAGACTTCCTCGGATCTTTGTTCGTTGTCCATTCCCAAGGTCAACGTATAAACGCCAGCTGATGCAGGCAGAGATCACCCATTTGCTCGAAATAGCAGCCCTAGAGCAAGTTCCCCCGGGCAAGGAACGGAGGGGCTTCTACTCCATCCTCTTCCTGGTCCCCAAGTCCTCGGGAAGGGTGAGAGCCATACTGGACCGCAAGAAACTCAATATCTATCTGGCGCACAAGTGCTTCAAGATGCAATCACTCCAGACCATCTTGGATTGCATCAGGCAGGACGACTGACTTCCTGATGTCAATCGACCTGAAGGAGGCCTATCTGCATGTTCTCATTCATCCAGCGCATCACAAGTTTCTGAGATTCCAATTTGCAGACCAGCACTTCTAGTACAAGGCTCTTCCCTTCAGCCTTCCATTGGCCCCCAGGACGTTTACCAAACTTCTGGCTGCTGTCGCTGCACGTCTTTGATCTCATCCAGTGAGACTCATTTGTTATCTGTACGACATCCTGCTGATGTCATCACGCAGGGAGCAGGCGTGTCGGGATCTCAGCGTCACCATACGCACACTCGAACAACACAGCTTTTCCATAAATCTGGAGAAAAGCCACCTGTCGCCAAGCACCAGAATCCAGCATCTGGGCAGTGATCGACTCCAAACTCTGCAAGGTGTTCCTCACACAAGAGAGAATGGATAGCATCACATCCCTCGTGCGTCACGTCCGGAGGTCCAGATCGGCACCTCGTCACGCTAGCCC